ATTTCTTATATATATATATATATATATATATATAAAAGTCGTAGACAATTGCAGAATCCCAAATCGTAAGAAATTGACCATTCTATTCAAGTATTCTCTCTACATTTGACTGTGCTTGGTCGGTTTCCTATGACTTAAGACTCGACGAATTCTATGTAAACGAGCCTAAAGTCTAGCCAAAGATAGGATAGATTAGATTCTATATAATTTGCTTCTGTTACTAATAATTGGTACAGTAGACTAACAACAAACACAACAACAAAATTTGTTGTCACATATTTACCAATCACCGGTTAAAGATACTGGTAGCTTGCTAAATTAACAAAATCCTTTCTCTCAGTGTCTCGATCACCGGAAACGTGCGAAATTCAGTCCAATTTCCATTTCCATTCTTAGCACGTGTCGCCCGATATTAAATCCCCGAATCTTTTTATCAGTCGACTTGATTCGATTTAACATCCTGAAATTGTGTGGGAACTGTTATAACTTGATGCCATCGAGCTCCAGGCGTAAGAGTATCTCGATCCCAAATGTCGATAATTGAACCTTTCTGTCTTAATCGTCGTCGAAATATAATGAGTAAAATATAATTTCATCCAATTTCATGCTAAATGCAGTAGTTCAATATCGTGTTTTTGAGATATCGTTTTTTATCCTCCGAAAAAAGTCGCGAAAAACAATTTAGCGTGTCACTGCAGATATTCGTTCGCGACGAGCGAACGAGCGCCGCACAGCGGATAAATCTTACCAATTCGAATAATCAGATTACGCTCGAAATAGCTATTATAATGAATTCTTTTTTTAGAAAACGTCCAATCCTTTTTTAGATATTTTTTTTTTTAAACCATCCCGATCCTGTTTTCCCCACATTCTAATTGCGGGATTGGTCAATCGGATGACGAACGGGACCGACTCCGAAATTGTCGATTCGTTCTACCAAAAAGCTGAAAGCGACGGTAACGTATCGGCTTGACGAAACCACAGATTCGATTGACCGGTTTGCCGTCCGTTTTCAATTCGCCACGCTGAATACCGACCTGCTGATCTTACTCGGTATTAGAATTCAATCGCGTTTAGATAACGATAAGATAATCGACTGTAACGGAACATGCGCTGCGTCGACGACGGAATGATTAATGCCATTAACGTTGAATTCACCTGGAAAATAGCAAGCGGAATAGCGTCCAAATGAAATTCCAGACACTCCATTGCGTGGCTCGCATCTTTCAATCCGCTCGCAGTCTAGTCAGACTGTCCGTGCAGATTTTAATGACTGTCCTTAATTGGCGCAAAATTGCTGCTTTAATGAGTGGTCAAGAACGAGTTAGAGAGAGAGAGAGAGAGAGAGAGAGAGAGAGAGAGAGAGAGAGAGAAGGGGGAGGGAGAGAAGATATGTAATACACACTTCTAAGCTCACGATGTAATTAAAAAACCAATGTATTAAACCACACTTGTATTCTAATAGAAGCTGTTTTCATCCCCGGAATCGCCAAACCGCTTTTTATTGACCTTGCTCGAAAGTCTTTGTAAAAGATGGTGCTATTGATCTTTTCCTTCCCGTTGCTTTAGTGATCATGATAATCCTTTAAATGAGAAACCCATTTAGTCGAATCAATTAATTTCTTGTTGGATGTGGATAAACAAATCCTTAAGTTAATGCAATAAAATATAATGTAGTTAAATTTTTTTAATGTAGTTAAAGCAAAACACTTGGTTATTTTAATAAACAAGTTTATCAGATGTCAATCTTTTATCAGAAACAAATAAAATGTTACAATAATCAAAATTATGCTTTAACTAAATTATTTTATTGCATCAATCAAGGATTTGTTTGCTCATATTCAAACAAGAAATTAATTAATTCAACTAAATGGATTTCTCGGAGTGATGGCGCTATAAGATGAAATAAAATACGAAACGACTTCTATACGAGGCATGCTGTAAAATCGTGATGTTTGCGTGCATGTGAATACAACTAAATCTATTATACATCTATTATACATCTGGAATAAATCTGTTTTTATGTCGTTTTCAATATTAAGTGTCTAAAAGAAATACGATTCAGTAATCAGAGGTAACATATAATAATAATTAATATTATAATGTAATAATATTGTAATAACATAATTATTGTTACAAATAATAATAACAAGTAACAATAATAATAATAATAATAATAATAATAATAATGATGATGATGATACTAATCTAATTAGATACGTGATAATGTAATATACGATTATATATAATAACGAAATGAAAAATATGTATATCGCAAACGCCAAAGAAGCAAGTATTGTAGCATTTATCGTGCATACAGATATTCGAAAGAAATCAATTCTAATTTTCAACTATGATAAATGTAAAGTCCGGTAGCTCGTCTCGTACGACGGATCACTACAGAAGCGGTGCAATATGCGACATCCGATGATTATACGCCCGCCACAGGAAAACCGGTCTTCGGGGATACGAATAACCACTGCATCGCGCGGGATGTACTCAAAATGCACCGTCATATGTTACTTTAACGTTCGCGCACGCGGCGACCGAAATTGGGTCGCCGCGATGCGGTGCGATGCGCCACGATCTAACCCTTTGATGTAGCGCGGCATGTACACTCGTTTATTCGCGGTGGCGCGCGATGAATGCGGCATACGTTTCTATGCCACGCGATGGTATCAACCGCACCGATCTTTGCCAGGTTAGAAATGCTTCTTATGGCGGAAACGCTGGTGCCGAGATTATCACTTCATACCTTCTGGCAGTTATCGTTTACCCCGAGATATCCGAGAAATTTCAGGACATTCATGGCAGCGGATATTAAAAGAATTTTTTAAAAGTTTTTTCATTTCGCGGCTTTTTTTTTTCTCGCATATTCAATATTAGATAAATAGATATATGATAAGGTGTTCTAATATTTTGATATAATTTAGATTTTTAATATTTGAATTTTTGACATTTCATATTAAAAAATAAAAATAAAAATTTAACGATTAAATAAAAATAATTTATTATAAGTAAGAATAAATAGGTAAAATAGAGAGGTTCTATATCTTGATATGATTTATGTTTTTACTATTAAAATTTTTAACATTTTATTAAAAAATAAAATTTTAATGATAGATATTAAAGCGTTGCAACATGTGAAGGATAGCCGTACAAAATATTTTTAAACCCCGGCTGCGAACCGGAGGCAAACATATCAAAGGATTCCGGTATGCTTGGGGTATTCCATGGAAAGTGATGTAGAAAAAGCTTTCGTGTTCCTTGCGCACTTATTACAGTAT